TTGGATGGCATCACTGACTCAAAGGACATGAGTTTGAGAAAGCTCTGGGAGATGGTGAAGGACAGGGAAGCCAGGCGTGCTGCAATTCATGGGGTCACAGCATCGGACACAACCGAGCAACTGAACAATAACATTTTGCTTCACTTTGTCTTCATATTCAGTGCTCCCATTTCATTTAGTTTATGTTTTTCAATTTCTCCATCTCTTCTTTCTTTTTTTATTGATGTTCTTTCTCAAGTCTTTATCAAGCATAGTAGAAAAGCTTTTGTGTAATATTGTAAATAATATGTATGATATATATATTTTATGAAACTTCTGAATTTTTGCCTAACTAAAGAATTTATGATGCTTTGATTCTGCTTATTTGACTTAGTATGAATAGAATACTGGATTTCTAATTTAAAAATATAGATATGCAGCAAGCAACAAAGGTTTATGGTATAGCACAGGGAACTATAGTTGATATCTTATAATAATCTATAATGGAAAATAATTTCAAAAATAATATGTGTATATGTATAACTGAATCACCTTGCTGTGGACCTGAAACATTGTAAGTGAACTATACATCAATAAAATATATACTTTAAGAAAAAAAATAAAACATACAAAACATAGAATCCACCCAACTCAAAGACTGGCCGCAAGCACACGTGAGGGAGACACAGGAGTCGTATCCGACCCCAGCTTTCTAGCTGGAACAAAATGAAGGAATTCCAGGAGACTGGAAAGAGAGAATGGATGAGGGGCAGCTTTGGGCGAAAGATAAGAAATTCCATCTGGGGTATGAGAAGCTTTCCATTCTTGATGGACATGCAGGGGCGTTGTCTAGTAAGCTGCGGGGCCAGGGGCCTGGAGCTCAAGAGAGACAACATTTTGGGATTGAGCTAGTCACAGATCAATGATTCCAGGGTGACCACAGATGACATCATCCAGGGGGAGCAGGTGGGTGGACCTCCACAATCTTGTTCATCTTCACAGCAGATACTTAAAACACTTAGAGTGCGTCTCCTATAGGAAAGGCACACTTCTCTTGTCATCAAGCATTTCTCCTATTAGGATATCATGTCTTAGTGACAAGAGATGAGGAAAGTCATGTCCAATTTTCCCCAGACCCACACAGAAATGTTAGATTTTTATTTGAGTCATCAGAATCCGTGGGCAACCCAGGGAGCATGAATTGAATTCGAATACTGAGCCCCGCCTTCGGTTGGCCTCAGGTTTACTCTGAAACCAGAATGATCATGAGACCAGAGTGACTGAGAAAAAGCAGCCAAATACTCTCACAGTCTCAGAGAATATTTATCCTAAGTCACCAGAGCCCCATAATGAAACCCAGACTCGATCATTTTAATGTCTAAACTCCAAAAATAATGATAATAATGAATGAAATACTGACTAGACTTAAAGAATGAAAGCTTTTAAGTGAGGCAGGAGTAGGGGGAAGAGGGAGGAAAGAAAAATATCTGAAAACAACATCTTGTTTTTACAAAGTAATGGGCCAGCCACTTGCCATCCATCAGCTAACAAATGCAGGAAGGTCCAGATTGATAGGAACGCTAAGAGAATGGCGAATGGCCGTGGAGGCAAGGGATTTTCTCAAGATAAGAGGGTTGTTTCAGCTTTCACTGAAAATCTTTCCAGCGTATCTGGTTAGGCTTTCCTGCTCTAGTGAGTCAATTGACTTTCAGATCCTGCTCTTGGGTAGACCTGGAGCAGGTGGGAGGCAGGTCTGGCCAGTGTAGGGTTCAGGAGGTAAGCAGTGTCTTACACAAGATTATAAAGGGTTCAAGCAGAAGGCAGACCCCTAACATTGTATCTGGAGAGGTACCAAGGTCAAAGCCACATGACAAGGCCAAGACCTGACCATCAACACAAGCAACTGGAGGGGAAGCTAAAGATGGAGTCAAAGCAAGAGGTTAGGAGCTGGGAGAGAAAACTGGCAAGCTAGAGAACAGTAAGCAGGGCCAATGGTGACTAGAGGGGTCTAAAGGAGTCTTGGAGATCAAGAATTAGTCTAGGTGCATCTGTTGCTGTATAACAAATTATCCCAAAACTTAGTGGCCTAAAACAAACATTTGCTATCTCACAATGCCTATGGATCAAGAATCTGAGCATATCTCGGCCTGATGCCTCTGGTTCAGCCTCTTGTGAGGCTGAAGTCAAGCTGAACGCCAAGGCTGAGGCCTCCTGTAAAGGCCCGACTCGGGGGGTGGGGCAGGAAGAAGGATCCACTTCTAAGTTGACTCTTGCCATTGTTGGCGTCTCGTGGGCCTCTTCCTAGGCTGTCTAAATATCCTCACAACATGGCAGCTGGCAACTGGAGAAAGAAAGAAACAAGAACAGAAAGCGAGGGAGAAACGGAGAGGAAGATGGAAGCCACGGTCTTTCTGTATGCCAACCTTGAAAGTGACACGTCATCACTTCTACCATATTTTATTCACTTAAAAGCGGCTAAGTGAGTCCAGCCCACACCAAAGGGGAAGGGATTACACACGTGAGAGGCAGCGATCACTAGAAGCCGTCTTAAAAGCTTACCTACCACACTGCGGATTTTTTTGTCTCCAAAGGTGGGACCGCATGTATGGGCAAGCCAGGTTCGTTTAAAGGGCTGGAAACCAGGATGTGGGATAAACAACTTCTCTGACGGATGAGAATCTTGCAGAATTTCTGGCTCATTCATTATCTTCCTGGGTTGTTATTTTCCATGGCAGCAGATGATGAAATGGAAGGTTTAGACAGCTCGGGTAACTGCATACTGATTTTCAGGTATTTTCTACAAGCTGACTTTTTGACCAAATCACTGATGACATCCTGACGTTTGTTCCTGTCCTCCCGTTGATCCCTCTCTCTCAAAAATTCCTCTACAATTATTGTCTGTGTTACAAATTAGTCTCAAATAAAAGGCACCAAGCTCTAAGCCTCTACACTTTCTCACAATGCTACTTTGACTGATAAATCTTCTGGGAGCAGAGCTCCAATATCCAGCCAGTCACATCAGGAAAATGCGATTTGTCTCTTGTCAAGGTGCTTGCAAGGCCTTTGCTTTTTTAAAGGGGGTGTCAAGCATCAGGATGGGCTTCTCAGGTGGTGCTAGTGGTAAAGTACCTGCCTGCCAATGGAGGAGAAGTAAGAGATGTGTGTTCAATCCCTGGGTTGGGAGGATCCCCTGGAGAACAGCATGCCAACCCCCTCCAGCACTCTTGCCTGGAGAATCCCATGGACAGAGGAGCCTGGTCAGCTACAGTCCATGGGGTCGCAAAGAGTGGGACACGACTGAAGTGACTCAGCACGCACAAACACCAGGGGGTGAGTGAGGACACAGGGTGATGTGTGGTCAGAGGGACACAATTAAATCGCATCTGGGGCCCGTTCCACCTGCCTGGATACAGCCTGGCTCCATCCTTTCATTTGCCCAGAGAGCTGTGTGAGCAGATGGAGTCCAGGAAGGTCCAGGAAAGGAGTGCACACGGGGACCCTGGCTGCATATTTTTATACCGGGACTGGGTGTTTGTGGAGGACCCCTTGAGAAAGCACACTACAAACGCATCTTTCTGTGCACGTCAGAACAACCAGGGACCAGGCCAGGTCTGTGGAGGGGAAATAGGAAAAATGAGGAAAGAAAGGATGGTAGTAGAATGTGGGGAAAGGAGGTGGCCAGAGAAGAGAAGCTAGCTGGAAGAGCCCAGGGTGGAAATGGCAGGAGGCTCCCACGCCTGGCTCGGGCGCCAGCAGCCATACTGCCCTCTTCCTAAACTCCTTTCACCAGCTCTCGAGAGTTCTCACGGAGCCCAGAGGACACAGGATGAACAAAACAGGCCTTGTTGCTACTCAACCAGAGTTCCCTGTAGACGCAAACGGAAGTGGAGCAGGCAGAGAGGCTCGTGGGGGAGACGGCGCACCACGGGAATGAGCCGTCACACCCACAGATGCTGCGGGCCCTTCCCCGTCCCCCGCCCCCAGCCCCAGCGCAGCAGTCTGCGTCTCTCCTTCCGGTTTGGGCTCTCCTGAGGGAAATGACCCTCCCCACCTCCCTCCTCCAAGCCTCAGCCCGAGGGCCCGGTGTTCAGTTCTCACGCATACTTCCCTCTCGGTCTCCCACCACTTTGACCATCTCTCGGGATCTGGGTTTGTTTTCTTTCATCCTTTCCCTGTCTCTTCAAGAACTCCCCTGGTGTCTCAGCTGGTAAAGAATCCCCCTGTAATGTGGGCGACCTGGGTTCGATCCCTGGGTTGGGAAGATCCCCTGGAGACAGGAAAGGCTCCCCACTCCAGTGTTCTGGCCTGGAGAACCCCCCAGACTGTAGAGCCCATGCGGTCGCAAGGGGTCGGACACGACTGAGCGACTTTCACTTCACTCACTGCCTCTTCAAGCTCTGGCCATTCAGACTTGTTAGGAACAGGAAGGGCCAGAGGAAAAAGCAACGGCTGCCGTTTGCCACAGGGTCGGGAAAGAGCACGTCCTCCAGCCCTGCTGACGGGAAGAGGAAGGAAGTGTGTCCCGAGGCCCCTCGGGGCAGAGGTAAAGGGCAGCAGCCGGCCTCCCTGCACCCTGCTCGCCTCTGAGTGGCCCTGTGTCCCTGTGGCATCAAGACAGCTGGCCCTCTGGGCACGCGACGGGGAAGACAACTCAGCCAAGGAAGCAAACGGCAGCTGGTGCGACGTTGGCTCCAAGGTACGCCTCTGGCCCTGGTCCACTCTGAGAGCCCTCGGTGACTCTGGTCGCTGGATTCCTCTCCAGCCTCCAGGCCTCAGAGGCCAGCTTCACCCCACTTGACTTGCTAGTCGGAGTTCTGAGGTGGATTGTTGAGACAACCCTCAGCTCCTTTCCGCCCCCCATTCCTCACCTCCTTTTATGAGTTCCTTCCTAAATGTCTGCCCTAAATCTCTCCTGTCATGATTTCCTTCTACAGTCGGGAGCAGAGACCTGGAGTCAGCAAAATGCCACAAATTCTGGACACCCTTGCCACACACAGAGGTCAAGCGCCTGAAGCAGCTTAATGGTTCACACAGGTACGGTGGGAACGAGGCGTCTCAATTAGGGCTTGAGAAGGATGGACGGAGAGCCGGGGTGAGGAAGCCTCCTTCAGAGGCCATGGAGCCGCCCCCTGAAGGCTGGGGGGCGTAGGCACAGTGCCCACCCCTGGCTCAGCTCGTAGCTCCAGTGACGGGACTTGGAATGCACTTGCAGGGGAAACCGACCAGCCCCAAGCGCGAAGGTGCTCCCACCCGGGTCCCCGTCGTTGGTCCCGCAGAGCCCTTCTCGGGAGCCGGGTGCCCCCTCACGCCTCTGACTCGTGCCTGCCCTTCTCCCACCCAGAGTGCCAGCGTGCACGCTGAGCCATCTTTTTAATTTTCTGGTTGGCTTGGCAAATGGCAGCTGCCCTGTCCCCAGAGCCCCGGGCCTCTGCACAACTTCCCCGCGCTCCCCTCCGCTGTCCCTGCCTGGCGACCACCGGATCATCCCAGCCTGGCCTTCAAACGGGCCTTCGTGCCAGTCAGACGCCGTGCCCCTCCCTCGCCTCTGCCTCCCAGTCCCAGGGGCTCCCTTCCTCCCTGACCCCCACCCCCAGACTCAGCAACGGGGCGGCTCCAAAAGCCAAAAAGAGGAGAGGGAGTAGGGAGGGGAGGCTGGGAGCTAAAAGCACCCCCACCCCCCACCCGCATCTGCTGCTGCGCTCACGCCCCTCCCCCAGCCGACAGCAGCCCCCTCGTGAGATCCAAAGGCTCTGGCGCCAGCCCGGCCCCTTGGAGCAGTGACAGCCACGTGCTGCGTGTGCCCAATTCTGCAGCTGGGCTAATTACTGGGGATCCAGAGCTTGGGGTCCAGCCCCAAACCAAACAAATTAGGACAAAACCCATAGCCTTCTTCATTCCTCTCCTTCCCAGCCAGCAACTGCTAAAGGACCCCTATAATTGATAACAGTGCAATAAAAACCCACCACCTGTCTTTAATCCTAAGGACTCGGGAGTCCAGCCAACAGCACAGCGCATCCCTCTAAAGCCACAGCAACACAGGGTTTAACAATACGGCATCTCCAAGGGCCAGCATCGCTTCCTCCAGGCTGGACCATGTCCTGGCACCTGGGACCTGGGACCTGTCACGTCCTGAGACATGGTCCAGGACATGGACAGCTGGGTTGACAGGCTAGACCATGGAGGACTTGGGGCCAGGACTTCCCATGGGGGTGCACCGGCCCTCTGAAAACTGCCGCTGCCACTGTCAGCACTGTGTGGACCCAGGGGTTTGTGGCTGGAATGGCAGCAGTGGGTGGCCTGGGCCCTCAGGACGCTCAAGTGGACAACTCAGAGGCTGAGAATCACCTCCCAGGAGGCCAAATTCAGAAAACTGGAGAAGCAGGAGGAGAGGATCAGCCGGGTGTGGCAGTTAGTAGGAGGGCCCTGGCTCCAGCATCAGGGCCAGGTTCGGGGCAGATATTAAAACAAGGATGCGGCGGTGTGTGAGAGCCAGGTGCTAAGGAAGATCACAGCACGGTTAAGGCCAGGCTCCACCAGCCAGGATGAATCAGGACCCTGATCCGATGCTGCACTCAGACAGCCTGACCAGGGTCCCACTTAGTCCTGAAACAGAAGTGGCAAAAGACGCCGGGTCAGAGACGAGGACCAGCTCATGGACATCGGTGAGGCGGACCTATTCCCCACCTCCGGTTTGAGCCTGAACTGACAGGCCCTTTGGGGGAGCTCTGGCCTGAGAGTGTCAGGCACCCAAACCCCAACACCAGACCACACGGGACAGAGCAGCCGCGCAGGTTCACGTGACCGTGGGAAGCGAGGGCGGGCCCGTCTGGAGTAAAGGGGCGGAGAACACCTGGAACCCGGTCCGTGCTGAGCACCTGCCTGCAAAGTGCCCAGTCCCAAGACCAGCAGCATCAGCCTCCCTGGGAACCTGCTAGAAATCTACCTTATCCAGCCTCACTGCAGGCCCCTGTATCACAGACTCAGACGGTGGGGCTGGACCACCTATATTTTTATAAGCTCTCCCAGCGGCTCTGATTCTAAAGGTTGAAAATCTCTAGGTACAGTTCCCAGGGGAGGACGTGCGTGCATGCGAAGTTGCTTCAGTTGTGTCCAACTCTTTGCGACCCCATGGACTATATAGCCCGCCAGGTTCCTCTGTCCATGAGATTCTCCCGGAAAGAACACTGGAGTGGGTTGCCATGCCCTACTCCAGGGGATCTTCCCGGCCCAGGGGTCGAACACACATCTGTTACATCTCCTGCATTGGCAGGCAGGTTCTTGACTGCTAGCGCCACCTGGGAAGCCCTCTCAGGGGAAACTTTCGTTTATTCACAGTTGTTTTCAAATTCAGTCCTACGCTGGAGTTATCTGAAAGGCTTGTTAAAACACAGATTGCTGGAGTCGCTGACTCAGGGGGCTGAGGTGGGCAGCCTGAGAAGGGGCATTTCTGACTAGTTCCGAGGTGATGCTGATTCTGCTGGTCCAGGGACCACACGTTGAGAGCCGCTGATTTAAATATCTGGGGACAGGATATAACCCTCTGGCTGGAGGTGAGCTTTCCCCAGACTGCATCTCTGGGGCGAAGCCAGGGCCCAGGAGGAAGCATCAGTTCTAATTAGTCAACGTGACGGGATGGATGCTTGTGTTGTCCCTTCCAAATTCACAGGTCAAAGTCTGATGGATTTGGAAACAGGGCCTAAGAGCAAGTGATAAAGGGTAAATGAGGTCGGAGGCGGGACTTCCATCTGAGAGGCCTGGTACCTTTATAAGAAGAGGGAGAGACACCAGAGCGCTTTCTCTCTCTCTTCCTCGTGAGGACACGTCCAGAAGGTTGTTAGAAGCCAGGAGAGAGGTCTCACCAGAAACCATATCATCCAGCCTCCAGAACTGGGAGAAACAAAGTTCTCTCATTTCAGCCACTCAGGACCCCCTGGGGAAGGGAAAGGCTCCCCACTCCAGTATTCTGCCCTGGAGAACTCCGTGGACTATACAGTCCGTGGAGTTTCAAAGAGTCGGACACCACTGAGTGACTTTCACTTTCACTTACTTTCAGGCTTTGGTGCTTTATTATGGCAGCCTAACCCTGAATATTCACTGGAAGGACTGATGCTGAAGCTGAAACTCCAATGCCTTGGCCACCTGATGCCAAGAGCTGACTCACTGGGAAAGACCCTGATGCTGGGAAAGATTGAAGGCGGGAGGAGAAGGGGACAACAGAGGGTGACATGGTTGGATGGCATCACTGACTCAATGGACATGAAACTGAGCAAACTCCCAGAGACAGTGAAGGACAGGGAAGCCTGGCGTGCTGCAGTCCATGGGGTCGCAATTGTACATTTAGCGATTTAGGATTTAGCGATTGTACAAGAACAACAACAAGCAGACTAAGAGACTCAGGGACCAAACAACCTGAGTATGTCTGGAGATTAAATCAAAGAGAGCCAAAAAAAAGTGTCCATGTTTCTGCCTCAGCTGTCAGCACAAATGAATGCCACTGATGGTTTTCTGCTGGTTTGGACCCCTCCTCACCTTCTGAGTGATCCTCTTCTTTTCCCTCACTGTGCAAACAGCCCTCCCGAAACTGCCTTTAAAGTCTCTTCCTGGTTCCCCTCTCCTCCATCCATCCACCAATGGCCCCTCCACCCAGCTGCAGGGCAGGCCTTCATCTCCGGTTGAAAGTCACACCCCGTGTCTCCAAGCGGCCCCCTCCGTCCCTGCCTCAGTCTCCTTTCACCTCTGCCCCTGGCTCCAGCTGGGATGAATCATCTCAAGGAGCAGTCAGGAGAAGCAGGCTCAGCCGGGCACAGGAGGACCCAGCTAGCTATCGAGTCCCTGCGGAGGCAGCAGCCCGGGGTCAGGGAGGCTCCCGGAAGATTTATTGGCCACTAAACCCAGCTGGAGGGGGTGGAATAAGTAGGCAGGGTGTAATCAAAGGGATACTTTATGTTGTTCCATCTCAGGAAAATAATTGTTCCACTGGAACATCATTACACTATCATTTTTCTACTCTTGCACCACTTACTAGGAAATAGAAACTCACTTTCTTCTTCATAATAAGGAGCAATTTCAATAACTCAAAAGGCTTTTTCTGAGATGGAGCCATTCTCCATCCTTCGGCAAAGGACAGCCCCCCACCCCGGACTCCCAGGCTAGAGCAAGGGTCTTGGGAGCTCCTGGGGGCAGCTGTCCCCGCCTCACAGTGCCCTCCTGCCCGCCACTCAGGGGACCATCTCGCCCCGTTTTCCAGGATTAAAAGGTTTTCCAAGATGCTGGACTTTCAGCGCCAACGTCAGGTCATAAAAATAGGGAAGGAAGATTGGCAGTAAGGGGTAAGGAGGTTGATTGGGGTAGGCTTCATTAAGAAGGTGGCATCTGAGCACAAGTTTAAAGGCAGTGAGGCAGGTTTATGAGGATATTTGAGGGAAGGGCATTCCAGACAGAGGATCAGTCAGTGCAAAGTTCAGAGGCAGAGCTTGGCGTTTGTATTCAAGGAATCCCATGGAGGCCCTTGGGGCTGGAGCAGTGCGAACAAAGGGAAAAGGGAAAGAGAGAGAAATGGCAAGCATGATCAGAGGCCAGATTTTGCAGGATTCTACAGACCTTGATGAGACCGTTGGCTTGTACCTGGAGGAGATGGACAAAAGGACACGATTCAGTTTATGTCCTCATGGACTGGCTCTGACTGCTGTGGAAGACCATGAAAGACCAGTTAGGAGACTGGTGCAGTAACACAAATAAGTAACGACTGTGCCTTAGACCAAGATGGTAACTAGTGGACCTGGTGAACAGAGGCTGGATCCTGGGTATATTCTGAAGGTGAAGCTGATAGATTTTCCTGATGGAGATTGGGTGTGAGCTGTTAAGAGCAAAGAAGAACAGCGTGACTTCCAATATTTAAATGCACAGGGCCCATCACTAGATCATAGAATAAATAATGCATGTATTTCAAAGGCTCACTCTACCCCAGAAAAACATGCACTTGAGATATTGATGGATTTAAGTTAGAAACTAAACTGCACTCCCAAATAGAATCATTTAGACTCTGGAGTATGGTCTTTAATGCAGAATAGATTTGCATTCATCCCTAGGGCTGGGGCTGAATAACAGGACCACCTACCCAAGGTCAGCTCTCCAGCCTGGTGGCTGACTCCGTGCAGTCCAGCTGTTAAGAGACTGGATCTGCATTTAAACTGTCTGAGGTTCCACTTTTTTCATTTAATGATTGTCGTGAGAATTGAATAAGATTATGTTCATAAAATACATAACGCAGGGCCTAGACCCTGGGGGATGCTTCATTACCGGTAGAGATGTTGTGCATGCTAAGTCACTTCAGTTATCTCTGACTCTTGGCGACCCTGTGGACTGCTGCCCACCAGACCCCTCTGCCCACGGGATTCTCCAGGCAAGAATACTGGAGTGGGTTGCCATGCCCTCCTCCAGGGGACCTTCCTGACCCAGGGATCAGACGCACATCTCTTGCATCTCCTGCACTGGCAGGCAGGTTCTTTACCACTAATGCCACCTAGGAAGCCCCAAGAGATGTTGAACGCTCTTTGAACGGCGTTGAAATTCTGACAGTGACCAGCAGAGGGCACCACCAGCGGAGACAGTGCTGCTACACCGCTAAGGAGACTGGCATATATGCCTTGGATCCACTAATCCGGAGAAGAAAAAATAATAATAATCAATCAATAAATAAAATAAACCGGCTTCACATAAATAATAAGCTGGCATCACGTTTTGCTTCTCTCCTCTTTCTCCTTGCCCCTTTCTGCCGAATTTTACATTTTCCCCGATTCTCCGCCTCGTTTCAGAGACCCCCTGCTGCGTGAAATGGATCTTCTATTTTGGGGCTGCCTTTGATCAGAACAGCCCCAGAGCCCTGGCACTAGAGGAGAACAATGTACCAGCCTGCACCACCAGCCAGTTCTCAGCTCCTCCCCAGAGCCCAGCAGAAGACCAGACGACTCTCCCGGCACCCTGGGCGTGGGGAGGACGAGACAAGGGAAGATCAGGTTTGCCCAGTTTTGCTCTGGCCCCTGGAAATTCTGCTCCTTATCTCGTCTCCCATTGCTTCACCACACTGCCAAAATTACCTCGATAATATATTTTTTTTAATTTAAGAATTCATTTTCACTTCAAGAAAGAAGAACACTGCAGCCAGATAAGAAACTCCATCTGTCATCAAGAAAAAAGGGTCGTGGATTTGGGTGTCACAAATCCTGTAATGTCTTAAATTAAGGTGCCACTTCTGCAGGCTTTCTTCATGTTTGTGAAATGATTATTCTACAGAGGTGCATTTAATATGGTTAAAATAATGATTATGCATGTTTAATACATCAATTTAAGTTATTATCTCCCATGCTATAAAATGCAGGATAATTTCATAAATAATTATAAAGCATTTACAAATGGTGACTTGATGCAAAGCATTCTTGCTAATCCTTTATCTTTCACAAACACAGAAATAACAATTAGATTCCTGGAATGGGAAAGGGAGGTTATGTTCTAGAAAGTGTCACTCCCTTACTGAATGCAAATAAGGAGACAAGGGAAAAAAATAAAAGCCTTGGGTAGAACCAGGGTACATTTCCCCTCTCCTGACAGCTGGAAGATGCCCATCCAGGGTATCATTAGTCTAGGTACCCAGCTTTCTCTCTGCAGGGACTGAGGGGGGTGGGGTGTGGCCTCAGGGAACGGAGGAGTCTTTGAATCCCTTGGAGAAAGAATAATTCTGCCTCCTTCTAATTTTTTAAGAAATAGAGAAGTTGCCATACTGAGACCCGACCACATGGTTAGAATAAGAAGCGACGTTCCCCACCCAACTCACACACACACACACACGTAGGCAGGACATCCCTTGACTCCGGAAAGTTTGATCCACATCTTCAATTATGCATAAGGATGAATTGAGTCACTAGGGGCCATGTAAGACAAAAAGCTTCAGCCTCCATCCTTGAGCCTGTCCATCAATGACACAGACTTAGAGAGGCAGGAGATCCCCTCAACGAGCTTATACTCTTGATGGGGAGCCTGAATGTTCCCTTTGAAACTATTCAATAACACAGACATCATAGAGCTGAGGTTAAATCAGCCACAGTAAAATTTAGTTGACATAAATAAAGTAAATCCAGGAAGGCTTTTTGGAAGAAATGAGATGGAGCCAGGTCACAGATCAGTGGAATCAAGTAAATCAGAGACAGGCCAAAGATGCTGAAAGGGACAATGCACGGTGTATTTAAGGCACCTGGCACACAGTAGGGACCAGCTGTGACTCAAGCTAGGATGTCAAGAGCTAGGAGATATCTTGGGATAATGCCCTTTGCATCCCGCCAAGGCAGTCTGTCTCTCAAAGGCTGGACAGTGGAAGAGATGAGGACGGGAAGGGGTCCTAAGCATGCCTCCAGCCGATCCAAACCCCAGCTCCGCAGAAACAGATGGCTCCCAGTTTGGCACCAGCATTTAAAGGGCTGTGGAGGGAGAAAGAGAAGGGGCCAGACCTCGAGGGCCCGGACGCTGGGGCGGCAGTTCCTGTGATGGTGCATCACGGCTACTTACACACCAGCAGAGCTCAAGTGAATCCCAGCTGTAGAACGACTCCCCAGGTCTGGGGAGGAGGAGGGGTAGAGGAGGGTCTTAAGAGCAGACCACCAATCAATGGGTCAGCGCAGTGCCAGGCGGCAACCCCACGGAGGAGGCTGCTGACAGTTGCTGAGTGGGCTCAGGCGTAGGCTCCAATCACAGCTCAGACGTAAGAGCCTCAGAGAAGTTGGAGGGCCTCTCCTCCACTTCCTCCAGTCTCAGAGCCCCCAGGAGGGAGCCCCCAGCCTGCCAGTCTCAGAGCCCCCAGCAGGGAGCCCCCAGCCTGCCAGTCTCAGAGCCCCCAGCAGGGAGCCCCCAGCCTGCCAGTCTCAGAGCCCCCAGCACAGAGCCCCCAGCCTGCCAGTCTCAGAGCCCCCAGCAGGGAGCCCCCAGCCTGCCAGTCTCAGAGCCCCCAGCCTGCCAGTCTCAGAGCCCCCAGCAGGGAGGGTCAGGGGGTAAGACAGACTGAATTCTTACAGCTGAGTCCTTGGCCCCTTTCCTGCAAAAGAGGGCCAAGAGTTCATCTCTAGGGACCCAGGTGAAGTGCACCTTCCACCCCCACACCCACACCCGCACACTTTTGTCACCACCGTGTCGCGTCTGCGGAGGTCCCGGCCAGGTCCTGAATATTCACCTAGTCCCGGTTCTGGCAACATGCTGCTGGGCAAAAAACGAATCTCTCTGGCTCTCAGACACCAAAACCCAGTCCGAGGGACCCTCAGATCTTTCATCCTGTATCTCTATCTCCCTCCTGTGTCTCTGCACTGTAGTTTTGGTAAAATCAACTAACCCAGTAATGAACTCACGGAAACAGGGTATCTGCTTAGCTTCAAAGCATCACGCCTCAAGGATTACCTGGTGGTTTTAACACATGTCCACAATTTTTTTGCCACTTTCCCCCAGAAAGAGTTGCTTAAATCCATGCCCTTGACTGTGGTCTGGACTTGGTGAGTCCCTTCTAACAGAGTGTGGGAAGGAAAAATAGTGACTTCTTAGTAGGGAGCACTGATGAGGGATCACCCAGGAGACGAGCTTCCTGGGCGGCTCAGACAGTGGAGAATCTGCCTGCGGTGCGGGAGGCCTGTGTCTGAACCCTGGGTGGGGAAGATCCCCAAGGGAATGGCAACTCACTCCAGTATTCTTGCCTGGAGAATCCCATGGACAGAGAGGCCTGGTGAGCTACAGTCCATGGGGTCGAAAAGAGTCAAGCACAACTGCATGACTGACACTGAAGCTTTTTCTAGTAAGATACACGTAGGCAGGGCTACTAGATTATTCTAGAAAATTAGGCTGAGGCTACACTTTCAGAGAGTGCCTAGAAGGGCTCACATCCATGGTTTGTCATGTTGAGACCATGAGCCCTGTGATGTGACTGGATGAGACGGGCACTCCACCTCCGTGGTATTCTTCCTAAAAGCCATGCGTGCTTGTGCTGTCACTTCATTTCAGTTCAGTTGCTCAGTCGTGTCCGACTCTGCGACCCCATGAATCACAGCACGCCAGGCCTCCCTGTCCATCACCAACTCCCGGGGTTTACTCAAACTCATGCCCATCAAGTCGGTGATACCATCCAGCCTTCTCATCCTCTGTCGCCCCCTTCTCCTCCTGCTCCCAATCCCTCTCAGCGTCAGGGTCTTTTCCAGAGTCAACTCTTCGCATGAGGTGGCCAAAGTATTGGAGTTTCAGCTTCAGCATCAGTCCTTCCAATGAACACCCAGGACTGGTCTCCTTCAGGATGGACTGGTTGGATCTCCTTGCTCTCCAAGGGACTCTCAAGAGTCTTCTCCAACACCACAGTTCAAAAGTTTGGCTCTTCGGGCACTTGTTGCCCACATCACTCATCTCCATCCTTATAAGCAGAGATGGCTTTGCAGGAGTAACACTCAGCTTGGAAATATCCACCACACTCCCACCCTCCTGCTTTCCCCACCAACTCTTTTCGGCTGAGACCACCCCCAGCCTTTGGAGACAGGACAACAGTGCCTCCTGGTGACGGGGGTGAGGAACTGCGCATCTCCCCATCCCTGCTGCTGCTGCTGCTCAGTCGTGTCTGACTCTGTGCAACCCCATAGACGGCAGCCCACCAGGCTCCTCTGTCCCTGGGATTCTCCAGGCAGGAACACTGGAGTGGGTTGCCATTTCCTTCTCCCATCCCTATAGCTCTTCAGATCCCAGGCCCTGATGGAGCTGTGCTCCACCCTGCCTTCTTTCTCTTTCATCCCCTCCCAAGACTCAGAGAACTTCGGCACAAGTGACCCAGTTTCCCATGTAGGCACACATCCTTTTCCGGTTCTTTGCTGGGCTTTTCCCCTTTCTTTCTCTCGAACCCAGGTCTTCCGCATTGCAGGCAGATTCTTTACCAGCTGAACCACAAGGGAAGCCCTAACTCTTGCCAAAGCTCCCCCAGGATTCCTTCCCTCCCTCTTTTTGTTACATTTGTGAACAAACCAATGACCTTCATTGAGACCAGTAAGAGCTGGCCTCATTATATGCAATCGGGGAAAGGGAGGGACATCCCTGAGTTCTGCACAGAAATTAGATAAAAGAAAAACTCAGTCTCATTGACTTCTAAAACCCTTGGAAATACTCTGAAATTCCATTTAAGTTTTTCCATGTCTCTCTCCACTTTCTCATCCTTTTCTAATCATTTTTCCTCAGACTCCAATATTCAAAATAAAAAATGTTTACCTATTTTACTCAATACTATCATATGTCTCTTTTAATTACTAGCTTTACAAGAGTATTGTTTTCTACTATTTTTCATGGCAAATGCACAGTACTTAATCTATACTCTGGGTTAAATAGGTTTTTGGCAGCCCGCCCGGGAGCCTTGCCAGCACTGATATCCTTGTCGTTGTGGGAAAAAGCTTCAGACAACTAACTCAAATGAATTTTTGGAACTCAACCCATTTATAAGTCAGGAACTGCCTGGGCTGCCGTGAATGGTTGTTTGATTGGTTTGGGGGATATAGGTCTTTCTTGTTTCCCAAATGAACTCATTCAATATGCAACAAATACAAATTAAGGCCTATTACAGGCAAGCCGTCCGCCAGACCCAGGGGATGCTACGGGGCCCAGTTTAGTATCTGCCCTCACGAGACACAGACGGGCAAGCGGGCAAGTCCAAGGCCAGGCTGCAACGGGGGTTTGTATTAGCTGAAATTCACCAGAGAAGCAGAGCCAATAGGAGGTTATATACACATAGGCTTCCCCGATGACTCAGGGTAAAGCAGCTGCCGGCAATGCAGGAGACACAGGAGACGTGGGTTCGATCCCTGGGTTGGGAAGATCCCCTGGAGAAGGAAACTGCAGCCCACTCCAGTATTCTTGCCTGAAAAACCCCATGGACAGAGGAGCCTGGCAGGCTACAGCCCAAAGGGTCACAGGGAGTCAGAGAGGACTTAGTGACTAACTGCATGTATCTATATATATATATATATATATATATATATATATATGAAAACAGAGATTTATTTTAAGGAATTGTGGGGGCTGGCAAGTTTGAAATCTTGTAAAGCAAGCTGGCAGGCCTGAAATTCAGGTAAAAGTTGATTCAGTCTTTAGTCTGAAGTTTGTAGGGCAGCTAGAAGCAAGAAACTGGGAGGGGGAATTCTGTGTTTGAGTCTTCAGGTCAATTTGTTCTTATTCAGAAAACAGGCCTTCAGGGGACTGGATGAGGCCCCCCTCCCCGCCCCCGCCGCCCCGCCCCAACACACACACACACACACACACACACACACACACACACACACACACACTCACACTATGGATTGAAGTGGGCAATCCACTTCACGCAAAGTCTACTGATTGTTCATGTTGAGAACATCTAAAATATATCTTTGCAGCAACGTCTAGACTGGCGTTTGAGCAAACAACTGGCCTCCATAAGCTTGCTGAGTTGACACACAGAATCAACCATCACACTGGAAAAACTCAGTGAGCCTAGACTCCGTAGGTGGCGTTCCTGCCCTGGTCTGCGGGAATAAGGTACAAGCTGAGACCTGAAATAGGTCTTCTCCAGGTGAACTTTTGGCAGACGGAGCCAGCGCTCCCCTCCACGTCCCCTGGGTGGTCTGTTCCATGACAGGCTCAGAGTATTACACCGTACTTTGCCCACCCCTGGGCTTCCTTTGTGGCTCTGAAGATAAAGAATCCGCCTGCAATGCGGGAGACCTGGGTTCAATCCCTGGGTTGGGAAGATCCCCTGGAGAAGGGAAAGGCTACCCACTCCAGTATTCTGACCTGGAGAATTCCACAGGCTGTATAGTCCACGGGGTTGCAAAGAGTCGGACACGACTGAGCAACTTTCACACATAGCTTGCACACGCCTGGGGCCTCCCTGTGGCTCGGAAGATAAAGATCCCGCCCAGGGGATCGATCCCTAGGTGGGAAAGATTCCCTGGAGGAGGAAATGGCAACCCACTCCAGTATTCTTGCCTGAAAAGCCCCAGGGACAGGGGACCCTTGCGGGCTACAGTCTGGTACAGAGCCTGGCAGAGTCAGAGAGGGCTGAGCGGCTAACACACACTTGTGCACCCCCAGCCTCCAACCTGCGCCCCGCCTCTTCCTCAGACCCTAGGAGGGCAGCAAGTCTTCTGTCTGCTCTGGTTGCCGAGGGCCAGTTCAGCCTTGGTCCAGGTGGGTATTCCCGTAAGGCCAAGAGCCCAGACCCCAGGGCTCTGGGGTGAGTGTCCCCTCCTCCCCTCCCCCGGGAGGACCCGTCTCCTGGCGTCCGCTCCGCCGCGTCCACATCCCAGAATGTGCACCTGTCCGCTTGCCGCCTGAGGATGCCACCGAGCCAGGCCCCGAGCCCGGGTCGGCCTGGTCGGCCCCTGCCCGCCCCCCTCGCGGCCCCAGGCCCCGCTCCCCGCTTCTGGAGGCGGCGGAGCATCTGGCGCCCGACTCCTGAGCAGTCCGTCAGCCTTCACGCCGCTGTCACCACCAGACGTGGGGGAACGAAAACAAAAGACGTGACAAATTTGTCCTTTTCTCTTTCATAATTAACCAAAATATCTCAGCGTGTTGCGAAGCACGGCTCCTAATTAACAGGCAGGCGAGAGGCGATTAAGGGAAAAAAAAGCCCCGCATCCCCTCTCCGCCCCTCCCCCCCCCCGCGTCCCCCTCCCCACCCCCGCAGCCCCTCCCCCTCCCCGCAATTATGTTTGCAGGAGAGAATGATATTCTGGTCAGACGCGACAGACAGAGCGAGCCCAGTCCCCAGCGAGGCAATTAATATTTCACACCTGCCAGCGCGCAGTGGCCGGGGGAGGGGAGGGGCGCTGGGGAGGCGAGCGGCTTGTCACCAGGCCAGGGTGTGCAAAAGCCAAGTGGGGACAGTCCTTCTGTCGGGCTGCGGGGATGGGCAGGGCGGGTTGGCGTGGAAAACAACTCTTTCTGGCATGGATGGGGGGTGGGGGGAGGGGGGAGGTGGTTGGAGGATCACTGGACAGAACAAAGAATCTGCCAGACAAAGTCGTTGCATCTGGACAGAACAGAGTCCTTGCATCCACTCTTCAGCGGCCCTCCGGCTCTGGCCCCACCTCTGGGCTTACTGCACACACACCGTCTCCCCACCCAGAGGGTGGCATGGGAGGAGCAGCAGGCAGCTCCACACGTGGGCACAAAACGTGCACCTGTGCCCCCCGCCCCCAGGCCCATGGGTTCATACACTGCCTGCAAGGGCATCATTGCTATGCCAACCCTGCCCACCCCAAGCACACATCCTCACACCCTCTCTGGTGCTCCCCAGGGAGCCCACGCATGGACACACAGACACACACACACACACACACACTCATATTCTTGCTTTTATGTACCCACATACACACACAACCATTCCCAAGGCAAACAATCAACAAAGTAAGTGACTATTTATTATGTTCAGATTCCTGCCCCCCTGAGATTCTAGCCTCCATAATGGAGATAAAACTATTATAACTTTAAAAAAAAAAAAAAGAAAAAGAGGTCATTGCAAAGCTCTGTCTGGTAACTGATACCTGCCAGGCAGGGGTGTCTTCCTCGCCTGTTCTGAGCATGCGCTAGTTACCAGGTTCTCTCACAGTCACTTCACAACCCTTACATCACTCACGGAAAAGTCACGACAGACCCAGAACACACCTGTGTCTCACATGCAGGAAATTCGAGACTCCCGGAGGTTAGGCATCTTATCCAAGTTAGAAAGTTGACAAAGCTGCGGTCTAAACTCTTCTGTCTGATGTCTAATTCAGGTGACCCATTCACAATCGCCTAATGGCTAAAGCCAGCCGAGTGTCACAGTTGAATGTGTTCCCAGACGAATGGATAAAGGTAACAGAGTACATTTACACAGTGGAATACTATTCAGCCCTGAAAAGGAGGGCACTTCTGACGCACAGCATGGATAAACCTAGAGGACATTAGGCGGAGTGAAATAAGCCATTCACAAAAACACACTGTGTGATTCTTATATGAGTGACCTAGAGAAGTCAAATTCATAGAGACAGCAGACTGGGGGTTGTCAGGGGCTGGGAAAAGCAGGGAAATCCATGTTTACTGAGTGTGGAGTTTCAGCTGCAGAAGATAAAAACTTCTGGAAATGGATAGTGGTGATGGTTGTACAGCAATGGGAAGGATTAATGCCGCTCAGCTGTAAACTCAGAGATGGCTATGATGGTAAATTCTATACCATGTGTTTTTACCACAATTTAAAACATAAAACCAGCCGGCATTGTTGCATACCATGCCAAGGGAGTAGAGAAGGAAGAAAGATTACTGCGGGCTTGGTGGCCTGAGTGAGTGTGTGGAGAGCTGAGATTTGAATGGGGCCTTGCAGGGAGGTGAGGACTTGAATAGAAGGGCTTAGGGTGTGAAGGTCGGCAAAACACCACAGTGCTCATGGGGAGCTGGTGCCTCCCTGGGGAGGGCACCTGTGGAGACCATTTCAATCCAGAGGAAACCATTGTAATACAGATGATTCTAGAAGGGGTACCTGAGTGGCAGGTTGGAATCACTCTGGATTCCAGAGTGAAGACTCTAAGGTTTCCAAGGACAGCAAAGCCTTTGTGCAGAAGGAAGTGGGAAGTGAGTCCAGCTGAAGAGTAGGGGCCTGAGGAGGAAAGAGGCCCCCGGACCAGCTGGGACACCCGGACATGGGCCTGAGGCCACGCTGGGGGGTTTGGACATCCACAGGCATCAGGGAGACTTGGGAGGGCTGAGCAGAGCGTGGTGGGGGCAGGGGGGGGGGCGGGGACCCTGGGGCTGGAAAGGTTGTTCAGAGGTGGAGGTGAAGATGGTCAGAGATACAGTCAGAACTAGAAAGTGAGAGAAAGCAGAGCCTCACCCTGGAATAAGCCACTGCCCTGGGGGAAGAGACTGAACAGGAGAACAGACAGGTAGACGAAAGGTAGATCAGGCTTTCCTGATGGCAGAGAGGCAGCGTCAGGGGCACTAATGTCCTCGAGGAGAAGGCCACAGCCTGCCTGCGGGAGGAGGGCGGCTGATGGCAGGGGTGCTGCAGTTCAGTCCAGGTCCCCCCTCGAGAAAGGGGATCCCCTCCCTCGAGCTGCTGGGGCCTTACCGACTCCCCCTCCAATGCGAGTCTCGATCCCACTCGCTTCTCCCCCATTGCTTTGCCTCCACCCCAGTCCAACCATGGCCCACTGCTTTCCTGTGGCCTTCACTAAGTCATAGAAGCAATTTTGTCTGCAAGATGCCGATCAGGAAACTAGCCTCCATGTGGTAGTTTACTTGCTAAAAGAACTGCAAAACTGATATTGATGGATCCTATTGAGGAACCTGAGCCTCCTAACTCAAAATAGGAGCAATTCCCAGGTGCGGGGACTTCTGAGGCCGTTTGCCATCCTTCCCTTCCCCCAAGGACTTTACAATCAATTTAAGCTTGTCAAAAACAAAATGTTGATAAAAAAAGAAAAGGCCGTGCATATCTGACACCAGTGTGAAATGAGTTTATAGCCAGGCCAGTGGGAGAACAGAAAGTATACAAATCCTAGGGGACCCAGACACAGGGCTATGGCATCTCACCTTCTCTTGGTGAGATCATGAGGTCGCGGGCACATTACTTTGAAAAGCCTCCTTCTCTTCTTTAGTAAATGGCTACTGTTTCTTCATATATTCACTCTTACATCTGTTTATTCAGAGGTAAGTCACGAACAGATAGTCCGAGTCAGGCGTTGTGCTTGACACTGGAGACGCAGTGTTGGACGTGGCACAGTGTCTGCCCTCGAGGAGCTTACGTTCTGGTGGGATGGGGTCTGGGATGGAGACCAGGAAGAAGCTGCGCTGTAACACGGTCAGGAGACGACAGAGCCTTGGACTGGGCAGCGGTGCGGAGCTCAAGAGAAGAGCATGGACTCAAGTTACGTGCTAGAGGTGAAATTCACAGGACGTGCTGACAGATGAGAGGTTAGAACCAGAAGACAGGGGGGGAGAAGAGAGTAACTGCTTAGGAAGAGTTAGAATCAGCAAGACACTCGGCACCGTGCCTGGCCCACACTGTGGCGCTGGGGACTCTCAGCACTGCGGGGATGAGAATGGAACCCCAGGACATTTCCACAGAGGCGGGCAGCGTAGCACAGAGAGACTTCTGAAGGAGGTGAGTCTCACGCCCAGTTTAAAGCAGAGGAGGGAAGCGGATTGACACGGGGGGTGGAAGAGGAGGGCGTGGGGGATTTCTGGTGGGAGGCAGAAAGGCCTGGACCAAACATAGGTTTGGAAGTGGCAACTGTGAGTCATCGGACTTAAGAAATCAGTTAGGATTGCATATAAGAAGATTTTGCTTAATATACAAATAAGACATATATAGGATTTTAAGTTAAAATAGAACTAAATCCAGATCCTCAAATTCCTGACTCCTCTTCAGATCTGTGAGCCTAGATTGAGAGTTGTTTTTTGTATTTTTGTTCCCCCTCCATTTGGACACTCTCTCCTTCTATGCAAGGAGGAAGAACTTTGAGTTGAAAAGGCTCCGAGAGGCTGTGGGGCAAAGAGGCCGAATGGGTAAGGACCAGCTGCAGAGCCCAGGGCCACCTCAGCACCTCTAAGCAGCTGTCTCCCCGGAGTGTGTTCTAAAGGAGAGCCCATCCGTGGGCCTGCTGGGTCTTCCTGTTTTAGCAGCTGCTGCCTGCGCAACCTCTGCCTCACACTCAGCCCCAATCTCTGAAGGTGGCATTGTGCAAGCAGGAAAAGCGACTGAAGCTGCAGACTGGAGTGGCCTCGCCCCAGGCGTACACATCCCCCACCCTTGGCGGCCGCGCTCTGTGTGGGTGGCCCAGGCCCTGCCGCGAAGGGAGCCAGGAAGGGGCTGAAGCCGCTCCTGCAGCAGGTGGGGCCGTGCCTCCCCCATTCTGAGTTCCGCCTATACCTGGCTCTCCAGCTCAGCTCTTCTCAAAGTGTGGTCCACGGAGTCCTGGGGTTCCTGAGACACTTTCAGGGGTCAGAAGAGTCACAATATTTTTCTAATGATATTAAGACATTATTTATCTCTTTCACTGTGTTGACATTAGCACAATGGTGCAAAGGCAACAGTGGGTAAAACAGCTGACACCCACATGACCCACAGTAACAACGCCGAATTGAACTAACAGGCATTTTATGTTTTCCTCATCTCGTATTCACAGTTTTATGAATGTTCTTCATGAAGCAGTAGAAATTGTTAATTTTATTAAATCTCAACCCTAAGTCACATCTTTTAAGTTTCCGTGTGAGTAAATATGAAGTACACTTAGATCATTTCTTCAGGCACTGAAACCTAGTCTTTGTCCCAAGTGAAAAAGCACTTGAGCGACTGAGCTGTTAACTGAATGAGTTACTCCTTTCACGAAACATCATTTTTATTTGAAAGAAGAGTTGACAAGCTAAGGTAATTTAGACTTATGTTTTTTATTAGAATTTTCTCGAAAATGAGCAAA